GGTTCTTTTGAAATTCCTTTCCATTATATTCAGAGTCAGCGTCAAAAACTGAGTCGAATGATATATATTTTGGAAGTTTTCGTTGATGTTCATTTTTTGGTGAAAATCTCAGCAATTTTTCAACGTGAAAATTCGAACAAAACAAAAGTGGTCGGATAGGATAAAAAGGGACGTTAGTCAACTCAGCTTTTGACGCTGACTCCGAATATGATACTTCTATTGCATGCATAAAGGGTGAGTTCTGGTGGAGAAAATTGGAAATCACCGGCAGAATTCCGATTTTTTCCCTTCTTATTTAGTAACAGTGAAATTTCTCAGCAACGGAGAGGAATTTCAAAAGAACCGAACGATACTTCTATAGTACTAATAAAGGCCGATCGAATCGCGTAAGAATGAAGATTACATCTTTTACCAAAAAAATTAGATAGCTTTTTGCGACGGGATCTCCGCTTTGGAGATATTCTCGAAGTTGAATTTGCGTGCAATGACATTACACATGGAGACCATCAAAAACACATTTTCAAATTCAGTTTTCAACGCTGAATTGGAAAAAGATTGTTTGACAGTTTCAAAATAAAGAGGAGAAAAAGTATTCAACTTTTTTCGAAAGCGGAAGGTTTTTCGGATTTTAAGACTCTTCCTGTATTTTCAATCTTTCGACGCCAAAAAGTGTACTGTGAAGGCTAGAAGGGCGATATTTTTAGGTTTTAATCTATTGAATCAAAATTTTAATGTCGACAATTTTAAAAAACTAAAAATTTTATAATTATGAAAAGCGGCTTATTTTTTAAAAACTAACGTAAAACTCGAACACAGTATATTTGAGAAGCTTGGAAGTTTTTTATTCTTCTTCTCTGTAAAAGACTGAGTCTGAAAAATATTTCGATACTGTTCAAGTATGATAGGACCCAAAAAAGTTTAGTTTTTCGCCAACAGCCAAAATTCCGTTCATGTTGGCGCCAAAAACTTTAAGTCTCACTGGATAGGAGGTGAAGCTAATATTTTTATACCACTCTACTCGCCATAATAGCAAAAAAAAGTAACGTTTTAGAAAATATTGTTCTGTTGTTGAGAAAATTAATCTTCTTGAAACAGGTAGCAAAAAACAAGAAAATTCACTTGTATTTTGCAGTTTTCACTGTCAAATTTCCATTATTTTTTGCAAAACCAATGTCATATTTGGAATCACCATCAAAAACTGACTTGATTGATGTGTGCCTCAGGATTTTTGGGCAACTTTTATTCTTTTCGAACCTTTTATAATAAAAATATTGGCTTCGTCTCCTATCTAGAGTGACTTAAAGCTTTTTGCGCGGAAACTTGCGAGTTTTTTGGCCATTGAAATAGACTTCGTATTTTCGACGTATTGAACATGTGCTATACTCTCAAAAAATACGTTTTCGGATCCAGCTTTTTGCGTAGATTAAGAAAAAAGATTTTTTAAAGCTATAGGACATGTTTAAAAAAAATTTTAGGGCGCTTTTTCAAAAAAAGTCATTTTTTTCGTTTTTAGGAATTTTCTAGTTTTTTCGAATTTTTCACCAGAAAACTCAACTTTTTCTAAACAAATTATACATATTCGGATTCAGCGCAAAAATCTGCATCGAATAATGTACAGAAAAAGAAACAAGAAAAAGCGTGGAAGTTTTGATTTTTCTTAACCTTTATACAAACTAAGTAGGCCGCTCGGGGTCAAGAGTTTAAAACGGAAAAACTCTCTGCTCTTTGCAATTGTTGCAGACAAAAAGTGTTCCTGTTGGTCTTGACTCCAGCTTTTAATTGTTTTTTGAAGCTGACAAAACTGAATATTGAACATTCTATGTCCCAGGAAGAAAAGTTCTAAGAAAATATCAGTGTCAAAGTGCAAAATCAAAACATTTTCTAGTTTTGGGATTAAACACTGATAGAAAAGCTGAGGTAAAGAATCTTCCTATTGTTAATGCTTCTACCTACCATAAATTGTCAGCCTCTTCTGAGACTTCACTGTAGCGCCTATCTTTATTTTATCCTGCAACGGCAGTTAAATTGCTCATGTAAAATTAACTTACTTCCGTGTTTGAAATAGTGTAATTAAATCAAACTCATAATGTTAATAACTGATAAAGAAAAATTTAATAAATATAATTAAAGACGAAGAAAAAACGAATGTGAGAGTAGATATATTATAATGTGCTTGTGTCTGTTCTGTTTTCAAACTGAGACGTTTCACATATAACAAAAATCATTTTGATTCTCCAGTTTTTGTATATATTACCGGTATCAACCGCTTCTTTTCTCAAAAAAGTGCACTGTGAAGGCTAGAAGGGCGATATTCTTGTTCAGCATGAAATTCTTTATCGAATGATGTATCAATAAGTCAAAAAATAAAATCGTGTGGAAACCTCGAATAAAAAGCTTCCGAGATTTTCGACTTTTACGTGAGTTTTTAAAAAATAAGCCGTTTTCTATAATTATAAAATTTTCAGCCTTTTAAAATTGTCGACATCAGAATTTTGGTTCGAAAGCTTAAAACCTACATTATTCTTGTTCAGCTCGACGTTCTCCATCCAACATGTATAAATATCGCAAAAAATAAAGGCTTAAGTTTTCAATTACGGGCACCTTACACATATAGAGCGTGATACGGCAAAAAGTTCAAATGCCTCGGATCGTTTTACACAATGTTTTTCTATATTTACTGATTTTTATGTTGATTTTCTGGGCGGGCTCGATCGGAAACAATGCTCGGGTTTCGCGCTTAACAGTTGATGCGAAGAAATCAGTCCTGTATTAGTGCCTTTATCTGTTATAAAAATTTTGACTAATTCTGGCACTACTCAAATAAGTATAGTCGATCTGCCTGTTGTATTTTGTCAGTACTAGCTCCCAGGGAAGAAATGAATTTATTTTTATATCCTTCTAGAACATGATTTACTGTCTATTATTTATAACATTTATACGAACAACAACACAGTGGGAAATGCCGGAAAATGATACCTTGATCAACGAAAGAACTAAGGTATCAGCTGAAAAAGTTGGACAACTAATGCCTTTGTCTGAAACGACCAGAATTGCTGTTAATCTCCCTATTTTCAACTTTGGATATTTTTTGGTTCTTCCAAGATATTTTACCATGTTCGATATATGTACAGACATCACAAATAATCGTATTATGAAACAAAATGAAACCAATATAAACGAAGTGTTACGTTCATTCATGAATACACCAAGCAAACTGTTTAGTGAACGATTTATGGATGCAGTTGATAGTGCTTCGCCAAGAAAAAAACGTCAGCTAGCCGAATTTAGTGTAGGGACCGGTATGTTGGCAATGGGGACATCAGTATATAATTCTATACAAATTGTCAATATTAAGGATACAGAACAACAAATAATAAATCACATTCGATCGAATGATAAAATTTTACAATCAACTGTTGCCAGCATTATACCATTGACAGAGACGGAAATGACTGTTGTCAAAGAATTAAATGAAACACGTCATTCCATGTCACTTATTCAAAGCAGATTAATATTGATGTATAATCGTATGAAAACATTAGAAAAAACATTACGTGCTGTAGTTCAAGACTATATTCCTTCTATCGAAAACGAAGTTCACTACGATAATATTTGCCGATCACTAGATGATATTTCAAATGGAAAAAAAATCTCGATTATTTAACACATGATGAATTACGTCTATTTGCCAATGCAGTTTTCAAACAATCAATAAAACTATTATTATTATTTGATATGCCAATGATGACAATAATGAATCGTCTACTTGCATCTCAAACATTTTATTTTGTTCCTAATACCGATAATAATACGAACGGAAACAATAGAAAAATTACAAAACACGCTGGTCCAACTGTTTTTCATCTAGGTAATTTTATAATATCGAATGTTATTTTCACTATTCGTTCAAAATCATATATGCCGATCTATGAAATATTCGGTACGTCAACGTTCACAAAGAATATGTCATTTGAAATACATAATTTACCTCGATTTATTAGCATTGATAATAAAAGAAAGACATCGTTAGCCTGGTATCAGGGTGATAACAATATTGAAAATTGTTTCGTTGGAAAAATTACATTGTGTCATGTATTACCAGTCATGGTACGTACAATCGAACATCCATGTTTACGCAATATGTTTGCTCATGAAGAAGAGGAGAAAAAATGTTTATTTATTGAATCGTCTATGAAACCACTGTTCGTACAAAATATGCATGATAGTACTTGGATTCCGTGGCAGACGATATTTACTGTATTATGACAGATAAAAACGAAGAAGAAAAAAATGAGAACAGAAACGGTCTGATCGATGATTCTAATGACGATAATATTATTATCAAAAAAATTTGCTATCATTCGTTTACCATGTAAACATATATTGACATGTCGTTTAAAAATAACATTGAGAAATATGAATTGTAAACATGATTCGGATGAACAATATTATTTGAGGAGCAGTGTTAATTATTACAAAACAGAAAAATTGATAAATTTACTAAAAACTGATCCTATTGATGAACAGCAAATACTCGGATTTGTCAACGATGCTAATCATATTAATACGATTAGTAAAAATTTATCCAATCTCCTCGTCAATCAGCTTAAAATGGCCTAGGTAACTTCGCTCGCAGCTTATAAACGTATTTCTTTGTTTTTTCTCTTGATCAAACAGACTTATTTTCTCTTCTAACTTTATTCCATTATATAGGTGTATCTGCCGTTCAATATTTTAATCATGCATCACATCTACCAATCAATTTAACTTATTATCTATTAACAAACCAAGTTATTAGAGACAACGCAATATAAAGTAACTATTCAACGATACATGATATGTGCTCTCGTTCTTCTACTTTATCGCACGTTCTGAGCATGTTATAATTATGACTATACAACAATGATGAAACATGTTCAATTTTATTATATAAACTACGTTTCTCTTTTTCTCGCGTTCTTCTTTAACTGTACGAAAAACCAAAAATAAAAGCATCAGTTACTATACGAACGCAAACAAAAAACCTTTCATTACTATTGTGCACCATTTAAATCCTAAAATTAAGAAGGCTCTTACTACTCGGCCTTTCTTCTGTGCATAAAGTGTAAATCAACAAAATCTCATTTTTTCATGACATACGTCAAACATAACGGTGTAGATGTCTCGCTTTTAGAAAACAGGAGGCGCTATATAGAACAGAACTACGTAAAACTCAAAATTGCACTTGTTTTTCTTCAAGACGGAAGGGTACACTTAAGAATAACTGCAAGGCCTAGAAATATATGCAGGTTCAACTGGTTACCGACTATACAGCTTTTAAACAAACACAAACACAGAATGCAGGTTCAAAAAAGAACGATACTAAGAGCCGTGCGTTCACAGTAACGTTGTTCACAGAACAACGTTTCAAACAGAAAATAGTTTTTATTCAATGTTTTAGATAAAACATGTATCATGACACATTCGAAGCAGAACAGGAAGCGACTGGCACAAGAAAAAAAAGTAAACTTATTGCTATGTTCATCGAAGGAAATAAATTAAACTATACTTAATGATTTCTTTCTTTAGGTATAACAAGAGAAGAAGTGAAGTCGGATAATACTCGCGATGCAGACACTGTATGTATCGATCCTCGTTAAACAAACAACAACTGGTAGCCGCACTCACATTTTGTTATTTTTTATTATAACAGACTCCTCGAAAGATCACAGTCAAAAACAGAATCCTTAAGGCTGTTAGAAATCCTGTTTCTTCTTCAGTAGGTACTGTGTAACTGAATACAAACAAACGGAAAAATTGGGAGATGAATGATATCAACCATCTTGCTCTAATTTTAGACTCCAGTCAAGAAACACGTTTAGTCGTGAAATGAAAATTTAAATCAATCATCCGAAGAAAAGTTACGCTATTATCGGCGTCAAAATATAAGGCCGGTGGTAGCTTCTTGAATAACTCAAAGACGATACAGGATAGAGATCTGAGGTTTTCAGTAATCCAAAGAAGACAGTTTTGCCTATGTTTTCATGAGCTAAATCCTTTACGCAAAATATTTGGAAGATTGGTTTTCCAGAAAGTCGTTCGAAAACCAGCTTGGATCTCCAGATACTGAGATAGCAATCTATCAGTTTTTTTCATAGATATATAGTCCAAGATGTCCTCTTCAAAATGGGAATTAAGCGAACTCTTAATTTTATCTGTCTCAGGTGGGGCATCGGCGTTCCTGAGAATCCCGGGATCAATATTTCTTTAGGTGTGGAAATTCCGAAATTGAGCGGAGACATAGGTAATCAACCACGCTGAATCTCGTGCTAACATTTAATTTTCGAAAGTTTCAGAAACCTAGTTACAACCTACATTAAGTGAAACATTAAAAACACGATACAGTCAAAAATGTGATAAACGTGTGCTGAGCGATATTATCAAGTTCAGTTTATCTACTCAAAAAAATGAATCGGATGAAATGATTGTTAGCTTAGAAATTTCATCTTCATCTGACAGAGTCCAAAACAGGTCTGTGAATCCTGACACGAGCCGAAAGTTTTTTCCTCCACTCAAA